AGTTTACATAAACAAATACAGCTACAGAACAAAGATAAAAACGAAAATCAGGACGTAAAAACAAACTGTCACAATTGATGTTTGAAGTTTAATTATTGAAAAGCAAAACGATGACAAATGTGCTCATGAGTCAACGCTAAAAATAAACACAGTAAAAAACAGAAAATAAACCTGAACAGGAAACGCATCAACAAATAAACACACATGCCATTAATGACGTGTGTGTATGTGTGCTACCGTTGAGGCTCAGGCTGTGCTGGATGGTGTTGAGGGAGGGGGGCAGGGCCATCGGTCGGGGGGGCAGCGACTGCATGGAGGCCCCGGCGCTGCGCTCCATGAAGGGGCCGTGCTGCTGAGGAGGACCCCCAAAATCATCTGCAAAAAAACATTTAAAATAATAAAAGAGCCAAAAAAAATGCAACTTTATACAAAGTAACAATTCTAAAACAGAATAACTGCCTCTGATTGGTCCTCAGAGGACTAAAATCCTTCAATGAGACGATTAAAACAATTCCACGAAAACCCGTGAGAGCAGAAACTCGCCTAAGAGTCACGGCACACACACACACACACACACACACACACACACACAGAAGGAGGAAGTGCAAACAGGAAGCAGAAAGAAGGAGGAAGTACCAAGCAGACTGAGGCTCCGTCTGGGAGGGGGAGGAGGAGTGGGGGGGTGGAGAGAGTTCCCCCCCCTCCGAGAAATATCCACATCGACCAGAGAGACCGTCTCACCTGGACACAGGTGAAAGCAGAGAGAGGGAGGGGTTAGAGGAGAGAGGGAAAGATTAGTGAGCAGAGTGATCAGCTGACCTGATGAGTCATGTGATCAGACAGAAGCAGAGCTGAGAGGAGAGGGGGGCGTGTCAGGAGCAAAACAGGAAAAAAAGTTTTGTTTTTCGGAATAAAACATAAATAATAATCGATGAAGAGCCGATTGGTCCCCGGGCCGCATGTTTGACACCGTGAAGCAGAGGAGTCTCTGACCCGGCCCGATTGTGACCGCGGGCAGGTCTGCACAGACCCACACCGCCCCGCCCCCAGCACCTGGCTCCACCCACACACACACACTGGAGCACCCCACAAGTTTGGGAGGACCACAACTGTCAAATTGAGAAATAAATTAAATATTAAAAATATTTTCTTAAAAACATACTTGATGTATTTAATGTGACATTTTTGGGTTGCTGATCAGAGGCAGGTCACATGAGTTTCACCTGCCCTCTGCTCACCTGGTCTCGCACATTAAAGAGCGTTTAACGTTCTCGCGGCTGCAGAGCACGCGTGAACGAGCTTATAGAGGAGTTCCTAATAAACTGGCCACTCAGAGCTGCTGAAAACACTCAGTCACACAAACTCAGGTAAAAACATCTCACCTGTTCACCTCTCACACACTCACAGCTGTGTGGACTCACCGGTGAAAGCCGGAGTGAAGGGCACCGGAGAGAAGGCACTGTGAGGTCTGGATACCTGCAGCCTGAAGACATAAACAACACCATCAGCACCATCACCTTCATCCTGACTGCAGAGCGAGGCACGAAGGTTTTAACGCTGCAACTCGTCAACATGTTCGCATCCACGGGAGCGATCTTGAGTGAGAATCAGCAACCACCCGACTCCACTCAGAATAAACATTTCAGCTCAAAGAAAAGCTTCAGGACACTTTGATGCTTTAAAGCAGGGGTGTCAAACTCCAGGCCTCGAGGGCCGGCGTCCTGCAGGTTTAGGATCTCACCCTGGGTCAACACACCTGAATCACATGATTAGTTCATTACCAGGCCTCTGGAGAACTTTACGGCATGCTGAGGAGGTCATTTAAAGCAGCTGTGTTGGCTCAAGAACACATCTAAAACCTGCAGGACACCGGCCCTCGAGGCCTGGAGTTCGTTCAGATCCAAAGTGATCCCTTCAAACACCAGCATGACACAAAAACACGCCCTACACCTGCCGACAGAGGCACAGCCGCTCGCTGTGGTCTGAGTCTGGTGGACAGCGACTGCTTTGTTTCACACTACAGTCAGTGTGACTGTGGGGGTGAAATGTCACGTGTACACCGTCACACTGACTGCAGGTGAGCAGGTTAGTTGTGTCAACACAAACTAACCTGCTGCTCGAGGAAGCATCCTGAGGAGAGGGCAGTTTCACTTCCTGTGTGCCGACAGGTAAAGTCAGTGTTTATCTGGCAATAAAAACTGATCCAATCTAACACCTGGTGTCACCTGACTCTCACCTGCCCAGGTGCTTTCAGTATCCATGGTTACAACAATACACCCCACTAATCAGTGTCACATGATCAGAGACACTTTCACCGTGAGCTGCACAGGAATACGAAACATGAAGTCTACTCGATCGGCCGCAAGAAAAATGAGACAGTCAGGAAATCCCCCGCTTCGAGGAATCAGGAAGTGAGTCGCCCCTGAACAAAAACAAGGTCACCGATTCGCTCTGATCCGTTCTGTGATGTCAGAGAAACTAAGCAGCTGATTAATCAATACTACCTGATCAGTTTGGGACCTCACCTGCCATCCTGGTCTGGGTTGCTGCAGGTGGACCCCCACACGTCCAACAGGCTGCCCCCCGACGACGTGGACGACGCTAGGGACGGCCTCTTGTCCAGCAGCCCCCCCGAGCCGCCACTCGAGCTCTTGGTTCTGAATAGCTTGCTGAGCCGGACCTTCAGCGACCCCCCCTTCCTCGACTTCCCCCGGGGCATCTTCTCCCCCTCCCTTCCTCCAGCACCCCCTTCCCCCTCCAGGACCACCAGAGGGGAGGCTGACCGACCCGCTGCCCCAGAAGCCACACCCAGTTTGGGGGTAGCGGCACGGCTCTGGGGCTGGGAGCGCGACTGGTGCTGATGCTGTGGGCGAGAGCGAGGGTCAGAGGATGGGAGGGGGCCGGGGAGCACCGCAGCAGCCTGGGACAGTGGCGGGCGGACAGGCAGGTACGGGCAGGGGGTGGCGGCGCTGCCGATGAGGGGCTGGGGGTCCACGCAAGAGGGGAGGGACACGGTGGCGCCGAGAACGGCGAGTGAGGACCGGCAGCTCTGATCTGTGCACACTCCCGCCTCCTCTGCCAGTCTGTGCACCTGCCGCATCAGCCCGCTGAGAGTCCCACTGGAGAACACAGTCCCCGCCCCCCCAGGCGTCCCTGCACCCACCACCCGCTCTGTTTTCTCTGTGTCCTCCCCCTCCGCATCCCTGGACTCTGCCGCAAGTCCCCCCACCTCCTCTGACCCCAGACCCTCCAGGACCAGCAGGGCGTCGCTCGTCTCGCTGGGGTCCTCGCCAGGCCCGATGCCCCCGGACCCCGAGGCCAGGACGCCATGGCAGGAACAGCGAGGAAGCGAGAGCACCAGTTCCTGCCCGCCACTTCCTTCCCTCACCTCGCCCGGGTGTACTGGCCTCTGGGCCGGAGCCAGGACCGGGTCTTGACACCTGGGGGGGCAGGTCTTCCTGGGCTCCAGCAGCCCCGCCCGCAGGGCTTGGTCCAGCAGGCCCGGGGGCCACTTAGCCAGCCGGTCTGTCAGCAGGTGGTGTGTGTGGCACAGGACTGACCCGGACTCCGAGTCCAGAGCCGGGACGCCCCGCTGGGGGGCCTGGGAGCCCAGCCTCAGGACCGGGTGCCATTGCAACAGCTGCTGCGGCTGCAGGTTTTCCTGCGCAGGGGGGTTCTGGTCCTTTCCTCCCCCGGGACCAGCTGTCGCGCTGCCAGGACCCGTGCCCGGCACCGGGTCCAGCTGCTGTCTCTGTCGCTCTGCCTCCTCCTGCAGGAAGCCAGGGGGCGGCTGCTCCAGCCCGCACTCCAGGATCCGGTCTCCGGACCGCAGCAAGTTCTGGAGCACCATTAGCTGCGCTCCGTGCCCCGCAGAGCCGTGCCCACGCGGCACCGGGAAGTCCACAAAGTCTTCGGACGGAGGGGGCGACAACGGCGCCTCGGAGCCCGACGGGGCGTGCGTCAGCCCCAGCCCGCCGCTCAGCTCTCCTTTCCCGGGCAGCGGGGAGCTGTAATGCGGGGAAGCCGAGCCGAGGCCTGCCGAAGGGCCGCCAGAGTCCACATCGAACCCGCCGCCGCGGCGGCCCAGCACGGCTTTGACGGGGCCGAACCCGCCGCCCCCGGACATCAGCTCGTCGGGGTCGTCCAGCCGGTCGTACTCCGCGGCGGACACGAGCCGCATGAGCACGAAGTCCGGAGACATTTCTTGCTGCGCGTCATTCATGGCGGCGGCTAACGTTAGCTGCGCGGCTAGTCGCTCCGCTCTTACATAACAGCTGCGGGGCTAACGGCTAGCTGCTAGCTGCTGCCGCATCTCCCGGCAGAGCTACCCGGGCCGCCGGCAGCGCACAGCCGCGGACATGTGAAGTCCGGTCCGGTTCGTGACGGCGAAGGCTCCGCTGGACGACGTCAGAACATGAAGGAACGAGAGAAACGAGCCCGGTGCCGCCGCTCCGTGACGTTAGCTGTTAGCCTCCTAAAGACTCCTCATCCTCCGGTCAGACAACACGGCGGGAGGCGGGGCTGCGCACGCAGGATCGATCACCGATCATAGCTAAACGATTAACGGAGGGAACCGAACACCTGCCGGGATCTGACAGCCTCATGATGATGATGACGATTGTTGTCGTTTATTGAGGGAAAATGAAGATTTATGGAAAAAAAAATAATTCGCTTTTAGTGGATCACTTTAAAATTTTAATGTTACGAACAGTAGTAAAGTTTTATTTCATTTAATTATTATGCAGTAATATACAGGTATTATTTTTAATTATTGTTTTTCAGTTGGTTGGATTTTTTTTAATGATTTCTTTTATTGTTTCTGTTTTTTATATTTCTTCTTTGAGTTTACAAAACATTATTAATATACTTATTTTACTTATCTGTGTTGTGTCTGTGTGTTTTAATCAATGACTGGTTTCTACAGTCATTGGTTTTAATTCATCCTCATACAGTTCCTTTTTTATTTTGGTGTGACGCGTACTCTCTGGGCTGTTTCCGGCTCGTGCAGCTTTTTCAGGGGAGTGTTTGAACTTTATTAAAAAGTCGCTGCGAGCAGGGTTCGAACCTGCGCGGGGAGACCCCATTGGATTTCAAGTCCAACGCCTTAACCTCTCGGCCATCGCAGCAGCCGGAGAGCAAGTGAGTTGACCGGGAAACTGAAGCTAAGAGTGACGTCAGAGGCTTCTCCAACAGTCCATAACTTGTATGTGAAACGCAGACTGAGAGGCTGACGAATCGATAACTGATGTCCGATGACCACGTAAAGAAAAACAAAAAGTGAATCATTGATTCTCGAGGTCTCAAAGGTGGTTCATCAGGAACAACCTACGGGCCAATCAGATCAATGGAAAACATCATCATTCCCGAAAATCCCTCTGAGGTCTGAAGGAGAAAGTCAGGTTCTCAAAGTAAGGCCCGTGGGTGGTCATCATTGTATTATTAGTGTATGGCTCATCGACAGGAGGTGGCGCTGCTGCTCTCACCTGTGCTCGTAGCAGGAACACCTGACCTGAGCTACAGCGGAGAGCAGGGAAACTTAAAGCTCAACAGGTGAGCCTCTAGAGCCCACAGGTGCTGCTTTGGCGAGCGAAACAGAAAACCTTTCCATTATTGTGCATTTCTCATTTTTCAGCTGTTTCCACAGCAACAGAGAGCTGGTTTATCATTTCTATTGTGTGTATATGCAGGACAGGGTGTCCAACATGTGGCCCGGGGTCCAGTCCGGTGCTCTGTGACAGCCAAAACCAGTTGTTTTTTTTCACTGAACCATCCAGAACACATTTAGAAAGATTTAAAGGATATTCCGTAATGCTGAGCGCATAACGAGCCGCTCAGAAACCGTGGAGGCGACACGTGACGCACGCTGAGCCAGCCCGTCACCCCTTACCTGCAGATTCTTATGAATAACCCGTTTCCACACACACAGGCCCGACGAGCTTTACAATACTCTAGCTTTTCATGTCGATTTTATAGCGGTGCTGCAGAGCTTGCGCCAGCCGAGCACCGCTGGGACCTGAATCCTCAGTGTTGTACTTTAATGTTTTAAACTGAAGTCCCAACTGACGCAGCTCACCTGTACTCAGGTAAAATCAGGAGTTTTGTGAATGCAGTCTGGTGCAGAGGAAGAGCGTTTGTTTTGAGGCAAAGCAGATAAAATAAAACACTCATGAGGTCACGTGACACCACACACTGCTTCACCCATCACATCAGGATTTGACTTGGTTGAGCCCCGATGTAGAGCAGCGAGAGGCTTTTATTTTGTCAGACTCCAGCAGGAAGCAGTAGCGTTGTGAAGAAGCAGCAGACGGTCAGTACAATATAGACTTTATTAGTTCACTAAAGTTGAATATGAAAGAAAAAGCAGATCGGCTTCAAATGATTCACAATTCAGAAATAAAAGTTTCAGGTTCATGTCAACACAGGAAGTGCTTCCTCCCTACAGCTGCCGCGCCTCTACAAAATAAAAGCCGAGGCCAGAGCCACTTTGCTTTCAGTGACCATCATATTTACCAACTGAAAGCAAAGCTCTCCGGCCGTAGAGGCGGCAATGAGCGCGCTCTGCAGCGTTAAAGCTTCGTGTCAGTGTTAGGGTTTTTTGTTGTTTTTCTTGAAACCGTCCCAACAGGAAGTCACCCAGTAGCGAGGAGCGACCGCCTTACTGCTACTGAACAAGCCATAAAGTGAGTTCCAAAAAACAAAAATCATGGTTCTTTGTAGCGTCGAATAAACAAGCCAACAGTGGGAGACAGCCAGAGCTCAGCGTCCAATCAGCAGAGTCCAAAACGTTTGAGTCCAGGAGTCCGAGAAGAAGAAGAGCGAAAGCACAGAAGAGCTCGGGGAATGTTTTGTATCACTTTAACTTTATTTTCATCATAGCAATGGAAAAATAGAACCTCATACAAACGTCTTCAATCATCTGAAATCTTAACAAGCAAAAAGGTGAGTGACCCGTTCCCAAAGCAGGCGCGGCGGCGAGGAAACCCGAGGCAGCTCGCGGCACTCGCTCACGCCCGGGCTAAACTATTCCCATTTGGCACTCGCTCCTCTCAGCATCGTTTCGGCTTTTATTTTGAAGGAATTTAGTGCTGCCGTTGTTTGGAGGAGACCGAGCGGGCGGAGGCATCCGTCCCTCACAGCTCCGCCGCCATGTTTAGTGCTCAGAAGAAGAAACGTAAGAGCAACAAAAATCCAGTTTTCCACAGAAGAAGTAGTCCACGCAGTCACTCGATCAGCTGATTCCACACAGTTCCCCTCCTCCCCCTCCCCCTGAGCAGGGGGGGTGGCGGCGGCAGGTCGGTGACATCATCACGATGTCATAGGAGAGCCCAGCTACAGCGAAAGAGGCGGATCGCGGGCAGAGGCGGGGGAGGAGTGGAAGGAGAGGGGGTTTCTTTAAGGGGGAGGAGTCACAGTCCAGTCCACAGGCCATCCAAGAGGGGAGGGGGAGGGGGCGGGGTCATCGCCTGCAGGAACTGAAGGTGGTGTGATGTCATCATCTCTCGCTCGCTCACACGTCTCTCTCTCGCGCTCACACACAGACACTCATCTCTTCTTCTGCTGCTTCGAGCGAAACGCCGACAAACACAGAAGATTTAATCCAGCGGCCGATTTGTCCTCAGTGATGTCATCCGAAGTCTCATCTCGCCCTGACACGACACCCGCCATCTGCAGGAGACAGAGAGAGAGGAGGGGTTAGAGAGGAAGTGACGCAGAGAAGCCACGAGAAGCATGCCTCCACCCTCACCAGGCCTGGCTCTTCAGCTTGCGGAGCTCCTTGGTGGCCCAGGTGGCGAGCGTCTTGGTCTTGGTGGTTTTGGAGCGCCGGCCTTCCGTCAGCAGGTCGTTGATGAGCGGGCGAACCTCCACCAGCTTCATCACATCTTTCCCAAATGCTGTGCACAGGTCACTACGGAACACACACGTCAAACAAACTGAGGCCTTTAATGTGAAAAGAATCTGAGCTCTCAAGCTGGACACTGGAGCATCGCCAGGGTAACCGTGCTGGTCTCAGAGGATGAGGTTTGTTTTCCATCACGCCATCAGCGTGGTGCATGATTTCTCTTCACCGACCACAACGCCTTAGACTTTGAACCATGTGACCCTCACTGATCAGCTGTGGTGCAGACCACAGGAAGTTTAGCTCCTTCAAAATAAAACCATAAAAGCTGCTCTGTGATATCTGATCTGAGCATGAAGTGTTCTGGGGTAAAGGAACCCTCTGATTGGCTGTGACCTCCTGATAAGATCTCCATGTTGGACCAACACGGTCGAGCTTCAGCTCCACCCCCTGCTTACCCGATGAGTCCGGCAGCGTTGGCCACCACGCCGTCAGAGTGGTCCTCGTCTTCGGCGATGTGGTGGATGAAGGACAGGATGAACTCCACCCGAGGCTGCACCAGCATCACGTCGGCTGCAGGGGTGGAGAGGAGATGAGGGTGAGAGAGCAAGTAAAGCAAACAGGAGGTTTTTTTATTTGTTGGGTCCCGCAAAACCAGGAAGCTGTGAGTTCGGCGGCAGCCTAAAGCTTCCCGGGTGAAAAGGACCCACGTCTGTCTGCGACATCACTAAAGCCTCCTGCTAACTGCAAGCAGGAAGAGGAACTGACGTCGCTGGAGCAGTGCGATCACAGCGATAACCGTTAGCACTTAGACAACCAGGTAGCCCCAGACACCTGAGGACAGACGCTGCCAGAGAGACCGTCTGTCCGTGTGTGTGTGTGTCCTTACGGTGGACGTTCTCCTGGTCTCCCTTCAGGCCCTGGATGATGCCGGTGTAAGCCTCCAGGCAGCCCTCCCTCAGCTCGTTCAGGTAGTCCACCATGTCGTAGTCCGTCTGAAACAGGTTCAGATGTGTCAGGTGAACTCGGACAGACAGGAAGTAAATCTGTGAGGTCAGAGGTCTCAGATACACGTGGTTGGTTTTACATCACGGTCAGCGTGGTGCATGAGTTTTCATCACAGACGTCCGAATCTAAGCTGAGCATTTCTACACTCGAAGCCCAAGTTCAAGATTCAGTGTTTGTTCAGACATTTGAAGGGGCGGGGCTTTACCTTGTCCACCTGAGCCTGCGATGCCTGCTGCAGGGTGTCCAGGACGATGTCCAGGTACTTCTTGAACTCACCCCCGATGGCCAAAGCGATGTCGCCAAACGCAGAGAGGATCTGAGGCTTCACCGACCGGTGCACATTCTCGTTCTGTAAACAGACCAACGTTTAACATCTGCACACCTGTGAGAGGGTCAGACAGGTGAGCGGCACAAAGACTGCTTTGGAACACGGCAGCTGTTAAATGTCCATCAGGTGATCAAACAGCACCAGAGGAAGGTGAAGTCTGGGATCAATAATCCACACCTGTGGACAGGTGGCTGCTTGCTACACCTGGATCATCATGTGACTGTGGGTCAGAATATCTGGACCGACCCTGTGAGGGGCAGACGGGAGCTAATGTGGAAACTGAACCAGCTGACTGTGTGGGGGTCAAAGGTTGACTGGAATGGAACTGAATTTCTACAGCTTCACTGATGTCAGAGCAGCCAGCTAACGGCGCTGTGGCCCAAATCTGTGCCACACAGGAAGTGCTCCTGCCACTGAGCATGTGCAGAAAAACTCGAGGAAGTGATGAGAGAGGAAGTCTAAGATAAACGTGGT